CAAGCTTTTTTTTTTTTTTTTTTCCTCCTTCTTTTTTATTGGGACAGTGTCTTACTTTGTAGCCCTGCCCGCCTGGAACTTCTGTGTAGATTAGGTGAGCCTTGAACTCAGAGATTTGTCTGCCTTCCATGTGCTGGGATTAAAGGCCTAACTAATGCTTTGACCTCAGCTATGGTCTTTAAACTTTTGAGTCTTTACCTCACTTTGCAGATGCTTGGTTTCTACACCATGCCTGGGCATGTCCTTTGATAACATACACTTTTTATTTTGTTTTTTTTCTTTTGTCTCTCATCATATTTTAAAAGCCATTGTCTAATACATGGCCCCAGAGATTTATGACTGTCCTTCTAAGAGTTCATAGGTTAGTTCTTACACTTGGGCTTTGGCTCTTTTGGGTTTTATTACTGTATGAGAAATGACACCACATATAGATACACTTTTGGCGGATATCATATTGTCCCACCATTCGTTAAAAGGACTGTACTTCCCTCTACATAGTTTCTGGTCTTGGCAGACTTGCAAAGGTTTTTATCTGGACTTGGTTTGTTTCATTGTTTTTTGTGTCTGTGCTTATGTCAGAAATAAACATCTGGAATGCTGTAGCTTTGTGTGGCATATTTAGAAGTAAGGATGCATGAGTCCTTCAGCTTTGTTAGTTTTTCTTTAAAAAAATTTTTTTGACTCTTCAGTGTCCTTTTTATTTCTTTGTGAATTTTAAGATCAGCTTGGGAGCTGGAGAAATGGCTCAGAGGTTAGGAACACAGGCTCTTCTTCCAAAGGTCCTGAGCTCCATTCCCAGCAAGCACATGGTAGCTCACAACTATCTCTAGTGAGATCGGATGCTCATTTCTGGCATACAGGCACACATGCAGGCAAGCTACTGTATAACTAATAAATCAGTCTTTAAAGAAAGAAAGATCAGTTGCCAGTTCCTCCGAGGCAGGCAGCTTCGGGTGAGTGTGTGCAGCAGTAGCATTTTGACAATAGTGAGTTCCTGTTTTTAAACACAGATGTCTCTCTTTATTAGGCTCTTATTTAAGCAGGATTTTATAGTTCTTAGCTTACAGCTTTCCTAAGCATTGTGCTCATCTTGGCGTTAAGATTAGTTGTTCTCTAGTTCTGGATTGCTCATTTCAGATATGTAGCTAATACAGTTCATCCCTAAACATCAGTCTGGGTTGCAACCCTTGGAAGAGGTCTTTTGTAGAGTCCACAGAATTTCTTACATGCTAGGCCACATCATCTGCCAAAGAATGACTTCATTCTTCCATTCTGCTCAGAGTTCTAACCACCATACACAGGGAAAGAAATAGAGGAATGCTATTGAAGTGGGGAGAACAGACTTACCTTTTGACTATCTCTGAGAAGCAGGTCAGTCTTTCACTGTGCCTGTGATGCCTTGATTAATTGACAAGTTCTTTAACTCTTGGTTGTTGAGTACTTTATTTTGTTGGGCAAATGTTTTTTATAATTGTTACTTTTCTACAAGTCTTCCTACTTTGAACTGTGATATTTTAGATGAACAGATATTTTAATTTTTATTATAACATAGCATTGCTTAAGTCTTATCTAAACAAATTTGATAGGTTATTCAGTTTTAATTAACAAATATTAATTTTTCAATTTTCCCTATTTCTCCCATCTCTCTCTCTCTCTCTCTCTCTCTTTAATAGGAGTAATTTTATTTATGGCTCATATTTGAGTAAAGAAGAAATTGCTTTCTCAGATCCCACTCCTGATGGAAAGCTGTTTGCAACACAGTATTGTGGCACTGGTCAGTTTCTGGTCTATAATTTTATTAACGGACAGAATGCCACCTAATTCAGATCTTGCCTACTGTACCAGAAGACATCTTTTGAAGAGAAAGCATTGGTTGCTGACTTTAACCAGGAACTAGGGCCATTTTTATTACAAATGAACTCAGGACTGGCAACAACCATATGGTTGTTCCATTTTCATAAAATTGGAAACAATGCAGTAATAGCTTATTATTGTTTTGTTTTTTTAAAGAAGATATTTTATTATCTTTTACAGAAATTTATGATTGTATTTTATCTATAGTTATTTAGACATGTTTACATGCAGCAGATAATTGTTCATAGTGGACTGAAAATTAATGCAAGGACTATGGTCTCAGTGATAAGTATATTTTGAAGTTCTTAATATGGAAATATACCAGTGTAGCTTGGTACTGTATTTTTTTATATTCTGCTGATACCAGTTACAGGTTTAAAGATTGTATTTTCAGAGTGGAAAACAATGTTTTAGAGCTATTCAAGGAAGAGAACAGTATTACATAGTTAAAGAATTTGATGCTACTAAAGTATAGGTAATCTCATAGGACAAGGGAGCTCCAAGTGAAAGAATGGTTAATAGCGAGTATCTCCATTGCTTACATTTCTGTCACTGATGATGGCAGTGGGAACCTCTTTCTCATGTGGAACCATAAACTACTAGAGTCTCAAAGAACTACAGAATAGTTATAAACTATTGGTATCTGCATTGTTATTCCTCAGAAGTACTACACTGAGTATATGCCCTCATTACTGGACTTCATCTTGATACTTGTCTGTCCTTCATAGTGCCCTCTACTTTTAAAGGGTTTATATGTTGAAAAACTGCTGTGGCCTTTTATGACCTGTATATAATGTAGAATAAAATAATAAAATACTTGATAGCTTTTTCTAAGTGATAAATGTACTGAGACAATGTTGTGTTGAATGTCTGTACACTTTCAGGGAGTTTCTTAGGTTTGAGACTGAAATAAGATTAAAACACAGGCTTCTTAAAGGTAGTTTTCACCAGCTTGCGAATTCTTCCTGAATATTCCAGTAACATGGTATTTAATTAACTTTCAAAGAAATAAAGAGCCACAATTCAAGAATGAAGTGCCATTGTGGTTTCAGTTAGATTATCTTTATGAGGTGAAATGATCATATCTCCATTGAAAACTTACAAAAATTCAGGGACTTCCCTTATGATTAACAGTCATGTGTACATTTTATCCCCCTACAAGTTCGTTCCTTTATTATTTATAGAGTGGTATAACACTATACTCTACATGAGTAGAATGGTAGGGAGTGTAATTATTCATTCTGTCTTGAAAGCAATGATCCGGCTTTTTTTCTTTTTCTAGAGTTTTACATTTTATTTTATGTGAATGTGCCTGCATATATGTATGTGTACCACATGCATGCGCGGTGCCCTGGCATTGGATTTTCTGGAGGTGGAGTCACAGATGTTTGTGAGCTGCAGGGAGGTGCAGGGAGCTGAGCTCTGGTCTTGTGCAAGAGCAGCCAGTGCTCCTAACTACTGAGCTCTTGCCAGCCCAAATCACCTCCTCCCAACTGAGACTGGAGACAGGGCTTTACTAGGTAGCACTGGCTGGCCATGAACTCAGAGGTCTGCCTGCTTCTGCCTCCTGAATGCTACTTGGATTAGCAGGTCATGCTTGATGAAGACCTTGATAAAGGGAGAACAGAAAAAGTATTGATTGGTTGCTTTAAATGTTGTCATTACTGGGAAGGAAATTTGCAGATACTTTTCATGTTAATAAAAGCCTCAGCCCCTCAAATTTTATAATCTAGGTATTTGTCTAAGAACATTAGTGTGAAAATAGTGCCTACCATTTTAGTGTGTCAGACCCTGTGTTTAGTGTTGCATTGTAAAAATCCTATAAAATAAGATTTATCTTTTTTTTTTTTTTTTTTTTAAAGATTTTCATGTTTTTAGGTGCATTAATGTTTTTCCTGGATGTACATCTGTGTGAAGGTGCCAGATCCTCTGGAACTGGAGCTACAGACAGTTGTGAGCTGTCATATGGGTGTTAGGAATTGAACCCAGATCCTCTGGAAGAACAGTCTATGCTCTTAACCACTGAGCCATTTATCCATCCCCAAATAGGGTTTATAAGAAAAGGTTTTAGAGTTTAAAAGGGACTAAAGAAGCAACCTGTGACAGATGTTGAAACACCAAACTAAGCTCTGATGCAGAGGTGAGGTGAAGAGACGGATGTGTGCTGAAGAGAGAACTGAAGCACAGGCAGGTGTTCTTAACTCTCAGAGATGAGTCGTGGTGAAGAATCGGAGTTTTGGTATAGCTTTCAGTAGACAAGCTGAAAGTTAAGAATGGAAAAAACAGGAAATGGGTTGGAAGGATTTGATGGGGAAGGGCAGGTTCAGTTTTGGTCAAGGTTTAAGGTGGTTACAGAACTTCTAGGTGGAGTTGTTTACATGAATCTAGCTTTTGGGAGAGTTTTGGACTTAAGCTGTTATTTTAAGGTTTAGATGGATTATTTGGGGGTAGTAAAAGAAAACTAGAGATCTGTGAGGAACACCATTATTTGAGAGTACTTAAATGGCTTAAGTAAGGTAAGAGAGTCAGAGAAGGGTAGTGGAAACCAAGGAAACAGCCTCAGAATCCAAAGAGGGCTCACCACTGTCAAGCCACAGTTGAAAGAAGGGAGCTCTAGAAAACGAGCAGCATCTGTGGAGTGTTGGAGGCAGCAGTCACAGTACATGCAGTGCCCACACTCAGACTTCAGAAGGTTATAAAATTGCTGCCCATATAAATTTTTGTTATTGGCCCTCAGATAGTTGTCCATCCTTTTTGAAAGCATTTAGCATGTTGTAGAAATCATGTGTTTTGATGGGTTATGCCCTTACATGTGTGGATGGTTTCTTTAGCAATAAAAGAAGACAGTAGTATTGATAATCACACTTGCTGGTATGTGAGCATGAACACAAAGCCTCAGACCTGTTGCGAAATTTTAGTGGCTCTTGTTAGTCTGGCCTGGCTTCCCAGTTGCGTAGAAACAGCTCCCTATCTGTTACCAGACTGTTCTGGTTGCCTTTGCCCTAGATGAGTGGTTTTGCTTCAAGTTCTTTTATTATAAATGTTCTTTATATAGTAGAGCTAGAAGGCATTTTCCCTCCTAATAGTAAAAGTGGGTGGAATTTAGAGATAAATCCAAGATTAATAATAAAACTCAGAATTGTTTGAGGATACCACAGTGAATATAGTTGCCTTCTATATAAGTCTGTCATCTGTAAATATGAAGTGGTCTACAGCTTTTCCAGTAGAGGTTTTGGTGTACATGGCTTCTTTAGTTAAGCTATAGCTTTCATTCAACTATTAGTATTTTCTTGAATTGTTATGCCAAAATAGTAGAATCTTGAGCCATCCAAGGTACAATACCAGACTTTCTTAGATGTTGACAGAAATATGGAGCTTATTTCACCTTTTAACATACAGAAAATTGGTTTAAAGAAAACAAACATTTTTAGTGGCTGAGGAATGGGAGGGAAGTTTAATACATTCACCAAATGAAAGGACAAGAACATAATGTAGACACAGCTTAAGACAACTTAGAGTCATAAACGAAATGTGAGGTAGACTGACTAGTGAAATTCACCAAATTTTGGTTAAGAAAATTTTACAGTAACAAAGTAACACAGGTGTCCCCTTTCTAAAAATCACAAGAAGCAGTTGCATGAATTACAGCCAAAACTTGACTACAGCTTTTCAGAGTTTACAGTTTACAGTCAGCATTAACCTGTGTGAACTGTCATGCATGCCAAGGTCTGCAGGTAAGTTACCATGTGACTTAGTGAGTCTATTTTCCCTACCTCAGTGTCCTCAGGGATGGAAGAGGTTAAAGTCAAACACACCAAGACATGAACTAACAAATCATGGTGGCCTAGGCTTGTGCAATCTCATCCTTAAAGAGGACCTAGCATTCACTAAAGATTTATACTGATTTAGGTAATTTTAAAAGATCAAACCTTAATTAAGTTAGGCTTTGGAGAAAAAGAAGCAGGTAAATTGAGCCTCACAATTGTTGGAGTGATGGCCGTTTGGTTTTATTCTGGCATTTCTCTTGAACACAGTTGAATAGTATTTATAGTTCATGATCACTTGAATTTCCAGAGTGTAGCCCTAACTAACACTGAGTACCTGCAATTAAAGTAACTTAGTCCAAAAGAAAAGAGGCCTCTGCCCCTCGCACAATTACTGTGGAATTATTTCAAGTATTTTATTTACCCTACATAGTGTTACTGAATATTGCACAAACTGGCTTTTTGGGTTTTACCTGCATTTGGACCCTTTCAGCAAAACAGGAACAAGTTGGATACACTTATATCTAAGTCAGACTGCCCTGGAATGTACCTCTTTGCTGAAATTCTGCTGTACTAAAGCCAAGGAGTAAGCATATAATAAGGCAAGGTCCCCTTTGAGGGACAATTGAAAATGGGGTTAAAAGGAATTATCCATTTAAAATACATTTAAGACACTACAAGTAGCTATATTAAAACCAAGAGGTCTGCAAACCATTTCCATCTAATACATTCTATTTTGTCACAAGCTGTAAACTCATTGTTATCCCTGGATAACCAAGCCCATCAGGTAACACTTGCAGTAATGTAGGCTCATTAGGGCTCTCAGTAGTCTCAGGTCCTAAGACAGATTCAAGTAAAAATGACCCTTTTAACTGAAGGTACAACCATACACATGGGCTGAATGTGAAAAGATACCATGAACTACAGCAATTTTAAGTGTAAACTTCCAATAGATTACCGTAGAATATTTTCTCAAAAGGTTTCTGAATAAAATATGTGGTGAGAAATACATCGATACTTATACCTACTACTGTTGAATTAATCACACACTAGCTGCTAATTTTAGTGAGTCCAAAAGACTCTTCGTGGAGTCTTCCTTACTCCTCAGGAAACATGTCAATAATTAAGAAAAAATTGCCTATGGTTCTATTTCCCATTTCACCCATTTTTATGTGTCGGTCAGTGCAAGACAGCTGTAACCTTCTAGTCCGTTTAAAGGATGCTAAGCTTGAGCCAATGAAACCAGCTAGTTAGATTCCACAGTAGAATCCCAGCCTGTTGTGTGGGTACACAGGTGCCAGCCGCTCACTTCCAACCAAAGCAGCGTTCTTTCTGCGCTCTCCTGGCTTGGTGTGCTTAAAGACTGGGAATGGAAAAGCAAAGGAATTAAGCCTAGAGAACCTCACAAATGCACACAGTGCCTGCTCAGTATTTACTGAATTTCTTTTGTTCAGTTTAAATAGTAAACTTTTAACTCCTGTGGAAATTTTGCCAAAGGGTTTGATACATATTATAAATCTTCGACTAACAATGCACAGAGAAAGACAAAGCTACTTCTTTTTAAATACAAATATCTTCTACATTCTATCATTTCAGACCCCTGAGTAATACTGTACCAAAGTACAGATCTGAAGAGAAACTGAGGGTTCAGTCCTCAAGTGTTAATCTTCAATTAATTCCACACCAGTGGTGTGAGTCTCATGTAACACATTCATGCTGGTAATGCAGACAGTCAGTCCCCCTGACCCCCAACATAGTGTAGTAGAAAGAAACAATGCAAACTCCCATGTTCAGAGTGTACCCTCAGGCCCCCACACGCAGAGCACATCCTAAGCAATTGCATAACTGCGCACTGTGGTGTTGGGCTGAACCTAGGTCCTGTCAGTGGAACTGAAGGACAGTGCCCCCAAAGACCTTGGTCACATTTGGGGAGTTCTTTGGAGAGGAGATAAATATGTTGCACTTGGCTCCACAGTGATTGTACTTTAAAGGAAAAAAATCCCCAGTAAATGTTCGTCCTCCCCTGGAGGGATTTGTTTGTTGTTTTTGGTCTGTTAAAAAAATTCATACATGACGCCCAGAAAGAAGGTAGAGAGGCCTGTCGTCACTGCTGTTGGCAGTCTGAAACTCATACATGACGCCCAGTAAGAAGGTAGAGAGGCCTGTCTTCACTGCTGTTGGCAGTTTGAAACTCATCCCGGAGGCGGAGCTGCCACTCATCTTCTAATTCCAAACGGACAATTGTTTGGCGCAAGGAGCTTCTGTCTTGGCAGACGACGCACAGGGTAGCACCTTCAGGAAGAAAGGTGATTAAATTGATAAGAACATTACCAGCTTTGAAAACAAGAGACAGGTACATAATTCATGTTTTTATTTATGTATTTTTTTGTATGAGTGCTCTGCATGTATGGCCATGTGCCAGAAGAGGGCACCAGATCTCACTATAGATGGTTGTGAGCCACGGTGTGGTTGCTGAGAGTTGAACTCAGGACCTCTAGAAGAGCAGCCAGTGAGTGCTCTTAACTGCTGAACCATCTCTCCAGCCCCTAGATAATTCATTTTATCCTAGGATAAAAAGTTTCGAGGAGCATAAAAATGATGAGAGAGGGAGGTTTCTTTCAACCACAATCCTTCCCTCCTGTAAAGACCGATAAAACCAGTGGTTTTTGTTGTTGTTGTTCTGTGTGTGTGTGTCTTTGTCTAGAGCAGGGTGTCTCAACCTTAGCACTCTGTTACGTGTTGGGTGCTGTGCCGTGCCTTGTGGAATATTTAGCAGTATCCCTAGCTTTCTACCCACTGTTTCCTAGATACACTCCTCCTTCCCATATAGATACAGTGACAACCTCAGCTCTCTTGAGGTTCATCCCCTTCTCCTTGATAATCACTCTGCTACATACACACACAAACACACAGCTAGCTCCACCTGTTTTCATACTACATACAATGTTCTGAGAGCCATTATCATTGGCCTCAGTTCATCTTGTCAAGATTACTTACGGTACTAGAGTTGTAGATTTTTCTTAAAAAAATTATTCATTCATTTATTTATTATATTTTTATATAATAAATATATTTTATTAAAAATGGATTTTTTTATATCGCATTCTGCCTGTATCACTGGCCTTGGTTCATCTTGTCAGGATTTTTATGATACTGGATTTGTAAATTTCTTTTAAAAAGATTTATTCATGGGCTGGAGAGATGGCTCAGGTTAAGAGCACTGTCCTTCCAAAGGTCTATAATGCGATCTGATTTCTTCTGGTGTGCAAGGATGCATGCAGACAGAGTATTAATAAAATATTAAATAAATAAAATCTTTAAAAAAGATTCATTCATTCATTCATTCATTATTTATACCGCATTCTGCCTGCATGTGTTCCTGCATGCCAGAAGAGGGCACAGGATCTCACTATAGATGATTATGAGCCACCATGTGGTTGCTGAGAGTTGAACTCAGGACCTTTGGCAAAACAGCTATGTTTTTAACCTCTGAGCCACCTCTCCAGCCATGGATTTGTAGATTATTCTCAGTTAAGTTGAACCTCTATGATGTATACCTATTAGCTAAAGTATACCTATACTTCAGCTTCTGTGTCTGGGAGTGCAATTATGCATTTTTTCTGCAGCTAATTTCTGATCCAATAAAATTACTTTAGAGTATATATACTGCTTATAAACACATACACATAGAATCAACCTAGCTTCTGTCTTAACTAGTTATTGGAAGCATATGTTTCTAGAAGAAATAATGGCAAAAGCTTGTTTAAGAAGTCACAGGCTGGGCATGGTGGGGCACGCCTTTAATCCCAATGCTTAGGAGGCAGAGGCAGGTGGATCATTGAGTTTGAGGACAGCCTGGTCTACAAAGTGAGTTCAAGATAGCCAAGACTACACAGAGAAACCCTGTCTAGAAAAGAAAAAAAAGGTCAGAGGGGCTGGAGAGATGGGTCAGGGTTAAGAGCCTGCTGCCTCTTGCAGAGAACCCAAGTTCAGTTCCCAGCACCCAGATGGTTCAGACCTGAAGTTCAGGGCATCTGACATCCTCTGGCCTCTGCAGGCACTCTTGTGCATGCACGCACACACACTCTTTCAGCCATAGATCTTATCACCTGTATTTAACTTAGTCTTAACAGTATGATCTTCCCTAATAAAATTAGTAGCCCTGGTTTAGAATCAAAGTATCCAGATTACTGGCCAAAGCTTTGTTAGCTTGTGTGCTGTTGAACTCTAATTTTTAAAGAAATAATTTATTTTATGTGCATTGGTATGAGGTGGTTAGACCACCTGGAACTGGAGTTGTAGACAGTTGTGAGCTGCAGTGTGGGTGATGGGAGTTGAACCTGGGTCCTTTGGAAGGACAGTGCTCTTAACCACTGAACCATCTCTGCAGCCCTGCCATTCTGCTCTTGATTCTTTTTAAGAATAGCATTCATATTCAAGGCACTCAATTTGACTTACCTTTTAGAAACTTGAATTTCTTAAGGAGATCAGCACCTACAAAAGAGTCACAGAGGTACAAGAGGAGTCCACTGAAAAACACGCCTTCACAGTTGACGTTGCTGGCGTGGGGCCTGGAGCTGACATAGCATACGGCTACCTGAAAGGAGGAAGCACAAAAATCAAAGATGTCTCAGAAGCTTGGAAAGGGACTGTGCTTGTGCCCAGGAATGCTGTGAGTGTGGGATATGAGGTGAAGGAGCCCAGTCTTTCTCAGCACTGAGTGGGCTGGTTACACAAGCCTTGTGCTTACTACTTGGTAGTCCAGTCTCAATATTTTAAATGACACATTAATTTATTACAGTGAATGCTGTTTTGACAAATACTAAGAAACAAAAGCGTGCACACATGTAAAAAATTTAAAAACCATACATTAGAGAGGTTAAAGAGTTGGCTCAATGGTTTAGAGCACTGGCTGCTTTTCAGAGGTCCCAGGTTTGATTTGATTCCCAGAAGCCATATGGCAGCTCACAATCATCTGTGACTTCAGTCCCACAGACTCCAACATCTTTTTCTGGTCTGGATGAGCACTAGGCATGTATGTGGTGCACATGCAGATAAGAAAAGGCACACTTAGGAAAAAGTAAATGTTTCACTTTGAAAGAAGCTTAAAGCAGCACAAGTTAATTTTTAGGTCCATGTGGTTTCCACGTCTAGAAGATAGCCATAAAAATTATAGGAAAGCAGCAGGATAGAACAATGGAGTTGCTAAACGCTTGATTTCAAACACTGTTCTTCAGTGGGGTGTTACTGTTCCTCAGCCTCATAGGTTAAAAAAAAAAAAAAAAAAAAAAAAACACTGGCTAGTATAGTTTTGAATTGTTAATATTCACTATTCATCAAATGTTACCTGCTGTTAGCATTGAGATTGTATTGACACAATTGGTTCTTGTGTTTTGAGGTGGAATCTCACTCCCACCCAAGCTGGCTTTTGAAATGTGGGATTGCAGACATGTGCTTCTGTGCTCGGCTGTCATTTGGTTTTAATGTTCTGTTTAGAAAAGTAATGGCATAACCTACAGCATGGATTATTAACATCAAGTTAAATTTAGTTTCCAAAATTGACTGCACTAAGACAAAAGAGTTTATGTGTGGATAAATATGTGTTTGTCAGTAGGTCCCAAGAAAAAGACCAAAAGAAAATCAAGGAGAGGAAAATGTCTTGTTCAAGGCTATGGGTGGTATTTTTTAGTTTTTTTCTTAACTTTGATCATGCATAAGCCATGGTGCACATGTGAAAACACAGAGGACAACTTGCAGGAGCCTGTCCTCTCCACCATTTGGGTTCCAGGAAGCGAACTTAGCTGTCAGGATTGGCAGCAAATGTCTTTACCCACTGAGCCTTCTCATCTTGCTAGCTCTAATACATCTTATTTTTTAAGTCATTAGAAGGATCTATTACATGGTTGAAGATAATAAAATAGACTCAAGATAATCCCAAGGAAAAACTTAGTGGCAGAAACTTGGAGGTGCAAGTGGCAGTTAAAACTAAACTGGTGAAGAACTTGAATGGGAAAGGGGGGGATGGCAGTTCTCACATAGCTCATACTTGAGTTCTTCCACATGTTAAGATACTGTGTGCCTGTCAACCGAATCTTTTTTTTTTTAAGATTTATTATTTATATAGTATTCTGCCTGTATGTGTGCCTGTAGGGCAGAAGAGGGCACCAGATCTCATTATAGATGGTTGTGAGGAATTGAACTCAGGACCTTTGGAAGAACAGCCAGTGCTCTTAACCTCTGAAGAACGGAATCTCTAGGAGAAAACTCACATGATCACAACACGGTCTGGTGAGTGTTGGCAAGTAGAGCAAGCAGTTGCTTCTGTGTGAGTCACACAGGCAGGCTCTTCAGAGCCACTGCCACCTGAGGTAACCACAAGCCACTGGCTGAAAATGGAGAAGAAATGCATGTGGCACACAGGATTAGTCAGGATGCCTTTACCTCCTGTCCAATGTTAAGGTAGCAGTCAATGGCCAGCACAGGACTCTTGAAGTTGTGAATGGCTTTGGGGAAAAGTTTATATGAGGCGTGTTGAAGGAACTTCTCCAGGAGGAACTGTGCAGGAGCTGCCAAGAGCGTGTGTTCACTGTCAGGAGCACAGACGTACTGCAAGGGCAGGATGGGAGCAAGGTTCTCTGAAACCTGCAATCAGATGATCATGGGAAATGTGCCTGTCAGTGGATGAAATGTCTACGATTACACTGGACTGCAGCTCAAAAACTTCCGTACACAGCACCCCCAAAGGAAGCCTGAAATTACACACAGCACCGAACCCTGCATGAATGTTTATAAAAACACTAGAATTTCTAAATTAGGCACCAGATTAGGTCTCGAGAGCTAAGACAGTACTTTCAGGCCATGGTTGATGATGGTAAGTTCCAGATAAAGGGGGAATGCCATGGGCTGGGAGGACTTGGTGGTTAAGAGCATTAGCTGCTTTTGCAGTTCAAGTTCTATTCTGGAAACCATGTGGTGGCTCATAAACATAACTCCAGATCCAGGGGACCAGCACCCTCTTTTGGCCTCCACAGGAACCAGACACACATGGTGCACATACATATATATACATACAAAATTAAAAATGTGTCTTAACAAAAACTAGCACCTAAAGAGAGACTTCTGTATTAATAGCAGTTGCCTGATAGGGTCAAATGCCTTTGTTCTGCATTCCCCCTCCTCCCACTTCAGGAATAGGACAGTGTTATATAAGTTACAGCAAGACTTCCTGGAATATTACTGTATTTAATGAATACATGGTTAGGTCCAAAGGGAAGTCTTTTACAGTGATGCTGCACAGATGGCCAAATCCTATTCTATTTAACAGCAAAAGGCAAAAGTCTCTGAGCTCCAGCCAGGAAGTCGACAAGCTAGAGTGATCAGCTAGCAGCAAGACTCCCTGGGAAGGGCATAGAGAACATTCTTTATAAGCTTTGAGCTATAATATTTTCTTTAAAAAACATAAGCCAGGGGCTGGAGAGATGGTTCACAGGTTAAGAGCACTGGCTGCTCTTCCGGAGGTCCTGAGTTCAATTCCCAGCAACTACATGGTGGCTCACAACCATCTATAAAGAGATCTTACGCTCTCTGCTGATGTGCAGGTGTGCATGCAGAGAGAACATTGTATACATAATAAATAAATAAAATTGAAAAAAAGCACAAGCTAAGGACCAGGCAAGCATTTTTACTTGTATTTTTTTTCTCCTGTGTTACATAAGGGTGATCACAATATAAATATTGCTGTCTGGAAAGTAAAGCTTTGCAGCTGGAAGCATTCCTTTAATCCCAGCACTCAGGAGGCAGAAGCAGGCAGATCTCTGAGTTGGAGGCCAGCCTGATCTACAGAGTGAGTTCCAGGACAGCTATATAGACAAACCTGTCCCAACAAAACAAAAATAAGAGCAAGCAAACAACCAATCAAAACCCCAATAAATAAATAAGCAAGCTTTGGTGGAACCTTGAAGGGTTAACTATGGAAAATTCTGTTGCCTTGTCAAAGATGAAGTTTTTGTTGTGGCTGGGCCCTCGCTGATGGAAGTGAAGCCACCCAGCGGTGGCTGAGCTCCTGGCGTTACTTCTCTTCCTAATGAAGCAGAAAAGTATTTGCCTCATGCCAGAATGTTAATGACAAGGCTGTTTGTAAGAAAGCATTTGTTTGTTTTCAACAAGAGAATCAAACTTTACAAAACTTACCATGACCTTTGGTTTAATGATGAAGTCCCTCTGTCCTCCGGCCTGAATGTGTTTCTTCATGACACTGAAGTTATTAAAGCGGCAGATGAGCAGGCCACTACTGTTTGTTCTCAGGTTAAAGTCAACATCTTCACAGAAATACCTAAATAATAACCACCATGATAGGTTTCTTTGACGGCCTGTCACATCTCAACTCTGAAAACTATACAGCAACATGTGACAGACATGAGGGAGGGCCCAACACATGGGCTTCATGCTACCGATCTGAGCATTGTAAGTTTTAAAGAAAGAGGAAAAGAGCTTTGTTATGCCACAGGGCTTTAGGTTTTTCCTATCAGAAACAGGACTGTACATCTTGTGTGTTCCAGCAAGAGAGCCAGAGGTGGCTTTAAAATTCTGGTCAAATACTGGATGAAGCATGGACACTGTGGGTATTCTAATAGCTACAGGTTGGGGTGGACATTAAGAGGGACTCTGTGGCCTCTAATACTATTCCTTGGCCATTTCAGGTTTCTCAGGAATGTGGGTATGATTAAAGGGGCCTGACTGCTGCCTTCTCCCTATAGAAAGAGCTGTGGGTCTGATAACACTGGAGAGTGATTTCCTTCCTAGTTCTAAGGATGAGCACAGAGTTCATATTGGCCATTCGCAGGCCCACACATCGACCAGGATTGATTTAACAGTTCTAGTTCCTATTTGAATTCTTCTCAAATAACCCGATGGCCAACCTGTTTTCTAATCATTTCACATTACAGTATCTAGGGTCTAGGGCATGCAAGGTATGGTGACACGCTGCAATGCCAGCATTCAGGAAGGTCACAAGTGGGAAGCCACCTGGGCCACGTAATGAGGTGAGGGTCAGCGAGCGTCACATTAACTGGAAGGGGCTTCTGGTCCAAGGCAGAATAAAAGCAAGGGCGAGGCTGTCGTGGGCACTATCCTCCAGGAGCTGCCAGGATGACCTGCAGGACGCCTGACCTACCTGTTGAAGTCATACTGTACATTCTGAGTCAGATCTATATTGAGAAGAATGAAATCATGCACGTGACATCTTGAGAATGGGGCCTTTAGGCTCTGCGAAGTCAGCTTGCTGTTCCATTTCTGTATGCCCAGGATTGCATAGTGGACAATTTTTGGTGTGGCTTCAATATGCTGCAAGACACTCTTCAGGGACACATTCTTACTGGAAATTCCTGCTTCTGTGGGCTGGCTATAAAATGCAAAGTTAGGTTATATAAAACAAATGTTATTGAAGAAGCAATGCTACTATATCTTAGTATTATATATATTTCATCCTATAAAGGATTTAGTAAGATAATTTATATTAGGTCTTCTAGTCACACTGCCTAGCATGACTGACTGGCAAGCTGGCCTTTGGTGGTGGATCTTAACACCTTTAAGGCAAAAAAAGTAATCCAGTTCATGTTTCAGAGTAAATAATGAACATGAGTTTCCAAAGACATGACCAGGGGTTAAAAGTACAGAAATGGTCCGTTCTGATTTTGCATGTAACAAAGAACGATATGTGCACTTTACTGATTTCAAGTCCACAGAAGAAATACTGGGAAATCAGTGTTTCATTGGGGTACTGTTGAGTTTTAGGGGGCAACTGAAGCTTTAATATTTAGCATTCCCCTTGACTACTACCCCCTAGCATTGTGTAGGAGTCTTAGGAAGTCAGCACTGCTCCAGGAAAAGCACTGATTTTGGTGGTGGGCTTAGAGGTGGCATAGCTTTCTCTGTTCACCTCAGTAGTTAAGCAGAGCGTGTTCTCATCCACATGTCAGCGTCTATATAAATGAATCACAGCATCAGGGCAGTTTTGTTATGGGGGGAGCACAGTCTCACTCTGTTTGCTGGCTGGCTTAGAACTTGCTTTGTAGACTAGGCTGGTCTCAGATTCAAGAAAGTCATCCTGCCAGTGCCTCCCATTATACCTGACCCAGAAGAGGTTTTTGCAGCTAACCAAGAACAGGAGTGTGGAAATGTCCCAGGAATTAATGACAGCTATCACTGAAAGAAAAATCTCCAAGTAGCCAGTGAGCTGTTGAGAGTGGTGTCATGATCCACTTTGCCCAGGTAAATTAGCTCTTATTTACTTGCAAGCCTGACTGCTGCCAAGAATACTTGTGTCGATCACCATGTCACAGCATCGCCAGCCCTCAGCTTCTTGGAAGTGTCACTACCTGCTTTGCTCCTGAGCACTGTGAATGTTCCACAGGACACAGGAGTCGTCCATCACAACGATGAAAGGCCAGACACACTGCCGTTTGACTCCCAGCTCCTCCAGGCGGTTCCTTTCCAGTTCTAGGTTGTGATACGACAGCTCCTTAATGAGGAACCTAGCAGCACCTGGAAGGCGGTACAACCACAGCTTTACACCCTCACTCAGGCCAGTCACGTCGCCTCCACTGGCATCCTGTCCATGTGGGGACCCCTCGTGTGGGTGGGAGGAGATAGTCTCGGAGATGGACATGCTGGAGAGAAGATGCAGAGGGCCCTAGCATCCATGTCAGGCAGCTCGAGGGGTATCTGATGCTTCTAGCCTCCATGGTCACCTGCACTTTTGCACACAGACACATTAACTCTGCAAAAAAGTCCCTGAGAAATGCATTCCAGATTCCTAAACCCATTGCTAGAGATTTACTTGATTAAGCAGTGAAGGGCCAGACACAAATTGATGGTGCATGAACTGCGCTCTGAAGAATATACTCCAAGAATTCCATTTCCCTGATATTAGAGTACACCTCGTACAGCAGGTGAAACAGTGACTAGTTCCTTAGAACATGACAAGGAGCTTGCTCTTAGAGGCAGCCACTCATGCCCAGCATCACAGTAAGCCCGGCTGTGGAGAGTGGCAGCAGCACCTATGAAGATTCTGGAAGCAGGCACCCATCCTAGGTCTGCATTTTGCAAAGACAAGGTAGCACAGTAGACGTGGTACAGAAGAGCAGGCCGCAGACAAGCTGCCCAAGTCCTCCACGTTCCAGGCTTGTGCCTGAATGAGCTAATTCTCTAAGAAGCGAAGGCAGAATATATGTGGGCGGGATAGTACCTAGCATATGGCAAGTACTCATAAGGAATGTTATGATAATTAAGATGAAATTAGCTAAGTTTTTTAAGTGGGCCACCCTAAAGTGAAACAAAATGTAGATTAGAATGAAAAAGGGCTAGTTAATGTATGGAAGAACACAAACAGCAGGATTAGATCAAGGTGATACTAAAATTCAGGAACCCTGATCTCTCAAGAGTCTGTGTAATACTTTGCATTCAGCACGTAGTGTGGGCCACAGGAAAAATTGACAGCATGGCCATCAGTGGTGAAAGACCAAAGGTTTTCCAACTATGGTCAGGAACAAGAAAATGATGCCTCCTTCATTTAACAGTAGAGAAGCCCTAGCCAGAACAATCAGGCAACAAAAGGAAAGTGATCGAAATCAGGAAATAGTAAAATGATATTCCCAGCCATGTATCATATATGGGGGAAATGGTCAGAAAGCTGTTAAAACTGCCGAGAGAACTCAGCAATTTAAAAGGAACAGTCTAAGGAATTTTGTTTTACTGCAGCATGAAAAAGAGTAGAATACTTAGGAATACACTTAACCAAGAAGGCAAAAGACAGTGCAGTGAGAAACACAAAATATTGATGAAGTTAAAGGCTATGCCAACAAATGGAAAGATGTCCGATGTTCATAGATTACAAAAAACTGTTTTGTAGATAGCCAGACTTCCTAAAGAGCAACATTTACTAAAATATTTTCATAGAAACAGCAAAAAAAAAAAAAAAAAAAAAGTATCCTTAATGGAATCTGATGGCATCTCAAATTCCAACCAAATTGGAGATCTTACTGATGAAGGCATTGATTTTGTTTTTCAAATGGCAACTCAAAGATTGAAAATAGATAAATTGGCTTACATCAAACTAAGAAGTTTTTGAAGCAAAGAAAATAACCAGCAGAGTCAAGACAACCTATACAAATAAGAGACAGCATACATAATAGAACAAAATTTGCAACTACTGATTCAGCAAGCAATTAATACTGGAGTAGATAAGGAACTCAGAAGCAGAATAGCAAATATGGCAGTTAGAAAGTAGGCTGGCTTGGAAAGATTGTACTCAACTTTACTCTTAGCGCTTGAGAGGTTTAGACAGAAGAACCAGAAGTTCAGGACTGGTCCTGGCTACCTACAAGATGTCTAAAAACAGAAACTCCAGAGAGTTTACAAGTACATAAATGCTCACTATCACCAACCACCAAGGGTGCAAGTCAGAACTACAGCAAAAGCATCTCACTTCAGAATGGCTGTCTCTAAAGTGTGTCATTAAAATGCCTTAGTCAATGTTGACAGGAGGGCAGAGGGAAAGCATCTCTTTCGTATTGGGGCAGCTATCAAGAAATGTGCAGCGTTCTAGAGCAGCTGAACCTGGAGGTAGCTTTTGATCCAGCAAGTCCACTGGTTGGTATATATCCAAAGGAGATAGAATCATTATACTGAAAAGACACTTGCACAACATCTTCAGTAATGGGACCAGCCTAGATTCCCATAGATAAGGATAATAGGCAAACACAGAATATTTTTGGCCATAAAAGAATAGAATCCTAAGTCCTCCACCTAGTGTGCCTACCTGAATGTGTTTCTTCAAAACTTCTGAAAAATCTGGTAATAGTGATGCCACATTGTGAACTTTAAAGACAACTGAAGTCTTTCAGGTCCCTGAAAATGGCTATAATATTGTGATGTTGAAAAGCATTTTTATAAACTCTTTTAATTAACTTTTTACTGTAGATAGTTCTAAGAATTTAATCTTGAAAACATTAGTAAACAGCATGTAGATTTTTTTTATAGGACAGTGGCAAAGAATCTCAGCCCAAGGATGTCATCCAATACTTCAAATGCAAGAAATGAACAACAAAAAATAGGCATGTTTAAAAAAAAAAGTGGGCTGGCTCAGTGGTTAAGAGCACTGGCTGCTCTTCCTGAGGACCCAGGTTCAATTCTCAGCATGCACATGGTAACTCACATTTGTTTTTAACTCCAGTTCCAGGGGATTCAATGCCCTCACACAAACATAAATGCGTGCAAGACACCAACGTACATGAAATAAAAATAAATAAAAAAGGAAGCCTGGTGGTAATGGTACACACCTTTAATCCCAGGATTTGGAAGCATGAGCAGGTGGATTTCTGAGTTCAAGGTCAGCCTGTTCTACAGAGCAAGTTTTTGTCTTGAAAAAAATAAAACAAAAACCCACCACCAACACCAACAAAAGGTTCTTGTTACTGTACACTTGAAGCAACATGGATGAAACCAGAAGTCTTCAGGTAAGTGAATCTGGCTAGAAACAGAACACACTGAATACTGTTCTCATCCATCAGAGAAGAGCTAAGTGGAAGATGGTCTGCGAAGACCAGCAAAGGCATCCAGCAAGCGGATGGAAAGAAATCCAGTAAAGCGCACCGAAGCGGAAGAGTTAATTCTAGTTTCTAGAGCAATGGTGCTATAGCAACTATGATTAACTTGATTAAAACAACACACAATCCATTTAAAATGACTGGAAGGCTACAAAACTCCCAACACAAGTGATTACCATTTAAAGAAAGTGTGTATGCACTGATTTGATCATTACATACATATTATTGTATATATGTAATATAATAATTGTATGTATGTAACATAATAATATTGATTATTACATACATATCATATATAGCTCATACAACTATACAAAGATGTCTGATTTTTTTTTTAAGGTTGCAGCTTTAATTCCTCCTTTCAAAACGTAAAGCTGTTTAGCTTCTTTAGGTATACAAATTTTAGTATGTTGGACTCGGGGTAAGAGGATCAATCCTCACTTAGAAAGACAAAGGGAATGGACGTTGTAAGGAGAAAACAAGAAACAGGACAGGAGCCTACCACAGAGGGCCTCTGAAAGACTCTACCTATCAGTGTATCAAAGCAGATGCTGAGACTCATAACCAAACTTTGGGCAGAGTGCAGGCAATCATATGAAAGAAGAGGGAAATAGAAAGACCTGGAGAGGACAGGAGCTCCACAAGGAGAGCAACAGAACTAAAATATCTGGGCTCAGAGGTATTTTCTGAGACTGATACTGCAATCAAGGTACATTCATGGATATAACCTAGAACCCCTGCTCAGATGTAACCCATGGCAGCTCAGTATCCAAGTGGGTTCCCTAGTAAGGGGAAGAGGGACTGTCTCTGACATGAATTCAGTGGCTGGCTCTTTGACCACTCACCCTGAGCGGGGAGCAGTCTTGCTAGGCCACAGAAGAGGACAATGCAGCCAGTCCCGATGAGACCTGATAAGCTAGGGTCAGATGGAAGGGGAGGTGAACCTCCCCGATCAGTGGACTTGGAGAGGGGCAGGGAGGAGATGAGGGAGGGAGGATGGGATTGGGAGGGAATAAGGGAAGGGACTACAGCTGGGATACAAAGCAAATAAAATGTAATTAATGTAAAAAATAGAAATTTAGTAAAAAAGCAAATGTAAAACTGTTTGCTAGTAACATAAAGACAGATATAGAGAGAGCCCGAAATAAACCCCTTCATATATGACAAGGGTGTCAGTGCCATTCACTGGAGGAGAAGATGTCTTTTCAGCAATAGGGTTGGAACATCTGGATAGCCACATGGAAAAATGAAGTTGTGCCCTTACCATATAAGAAAGTATTTAATTTTCAGTGACCTAAGTAAATGCTAGCATTCTAGAACATTTAGAAGAAAACAGAGTAATGAGTAAGGATAGTGAAATTGGCAATGGTCTAGGTGTGATACCAAAATACAACCAAAGAAAAAACAAACTGGACTTCATCAAAATTAACTTTAGGACATCAAAGGACATTATTAACAGTGGAGTGGGAAACGATGTAAAATAACATATCTGATGAGTTAATATTAAAATGTAAACGAGCTCTGTAATGAGGTGATCCAGCTGAAGAAATGCGTGAAGGATTTGGAGGACACGGGGACTGCCCAGCACCCACGCTTTGTGGCACATGCCAGTAATGTTAACTATTTGGGTTACTGAGGCAGGAGAATCACTCAACGCCTTACTAGAGCAACAAAGCAAGGTCGAGAGCAGCACAGACAACTTAGAGAGACAGTCTCTTAAGAAAAGTAAGTGAAATGCATGAGGCCATCGCATCTGAAAGGCCGGAATTCCGTCCCCAGTTGCTGAGGTGAGACAAAGCTCATCACTAAAAATCATTGTAAACTGCAGATTCAAATCAGAGCTGAGTACCACCTTACACACTGGCAGAGATAAGTGGTGGAAAACTTAACTACGGCACACGAAGTGCCCAGAGGGACATGGTTCAGATAGCGGTTTCCTGTGTATGGGAAATGAAGGTGATCCAGACACCACTCGAGCCCACACTCAGCAGCTAATGGTCCTCCCTGGGAAATCAGCTTTATGATCTTTTTCCCGTGAAAAAGTGGGAATGAGCCTGCCTGACACTTTCACTGTGTCACAGGCAGCTGCTTCCAGTTCCTTGACAGGACTAGAACTTTCCTCGTGCCCCTAGCAGGAGACACAGGGAGGGTGTGGACACTCTAAATCAGACACACCATCACCTCCCGCCCGAGGGCCAGCTCCCTTCTCATGGATACATCCTGGTCCTAGAAAGTCCAGCCTAAAAATATTGGAGTCTGCACTAAGATGACTCTCCAACCCTTCTCTGGGTGTTCAGTATTCCAGTGATTTAGTCCTCTCAGCCCTTCTCCCGTCCCCAGGGCGCCCTTACCCACTCCTGCGTTATTGAACATGCCAGGGAGCACCAGCATGATGTGGTTGGGCCAGTACTTCCGGTAGAGTGGCATCTCGTATTCTTTGACCACCAGGAGGTGAAGGTGGCTGATGCCCTCCATGGCATGGAAAAGATTGAGGAGTCCGTGCTCGTGGCGACCACTGGAAGGAGTGAAAATAGGGCTCTTGACTGCATTTAGATTCTGTGGAAAGGAAAACGAGTGAGACCAAAAAGGGAAGGAAAAGCCCCGGGTACCAGCAGCTTAGAGAGCCCCCACCTCGGCCCGCGGCCCGCACACGCTCCGGCCCACCTTGTCGGAAACCAGCGGCAGCCGCATGCTCTCCAGGCGTCTGCCCCGCTTGCTGAAGACAAAGTGACCCTCCTTGGACTTCGGAATGATGAAATAGAGCTGGACTTCTTCTCCCAGCATAGAAGAGGAGAATGTGAATGCATGAAGGGTGGAATCAGACATCTAGGTTTGCAAAGAGGAGAGGGAGCGGAGGTCAGTATGCGCTTCCCACGCTGCTGCGCCATTCTCTTACATTTCTGGCGTGAGTTAGTTCCACCAGCTGCGAGGAGCAGCAACGTGCAAAGGCCTTCCTCTTTACTCGCCGACACTGACGCAGCAGCCGATTCTGCAGCCCTGATAACCTCTCCGAGGGTTCTCCTCGCAAGCCTAGGACAGATGCTCAGTCTTGAAGACAAACCTCCGTGTGGGCTGCCCTGCGGCGTACACATTCCCCCAGAGATGCAACACAGAAGGTAAAAGCTCGTTTGGCTAGAGTTAAAAATGTGTCTGTGGCCCCATCTTTTCTGGTCTCGGTGGAGGACGAAGTGATGCCAACATTCACGGCAGAACTCTGACACTAAAGAAGGACCATGTGACTCATCAAAGCCAGGTATAAATCCAGCCTGTCTGTAAAGCTGTTGGAAGGCCACATGCTCAGGAACTATCTCCATGAATAATTACAAAATAGGCCTTTATGGACTGTTCAATGAAGACAATACTTGGTTTAATGGAAGGATAATAAATTTTCACCAGCACTTAAAATCCGGGTAGGTTTCCTCATAGTTTTAACCTAAATATTGTATTTCAGAAAAAAAATAAGAGTTTTCTCCAAATTCTAGGTTGTTCTACATCACAAATGTGGGGCTACGCTATTTGTAATCACAGAAATGATGTCCAGAGGAATTTTTATGCAGAAAATTTCTAAACACCTATAATTTATAGGCCAAGGCAATTGTGTCCTGTCCTATGAAAAACAGTAAACAGGGCCAGTGGGATGACTCTTCAGGGAAAGGGCTTGCCACCAAACCTCATGTTCTGGGTTTCCTCTCCACAGCCCACAATGGAGTAAGGGAACTAGTTTCTGCATTCATGCATGTACACGCACGCACGCACTTAAGAGAACTGTCAACAGACTAGTAGCCTGCCCAAAAAAAAAAAAAAAAAAAAAAAAATGCATAAAACAGGTAACTCGTAACCCAGTTTTCAATGCATTTCTTCCACTGTCCATTGAATTCCAGGATGCGCTTTTAAGGGGAGGCCGTGGTCCTGAGAAGCAGGTCTGGGGAATTTGTTCAGCACAGCCTAGAAACACTGGGGTCCCCGGGCTCTGTGGCAAGACATAAGGCTCAAGAAGAGAAATGGGGAGATGGGGAAACGACATGGACCTTCTCCCCAAAAGCAGGGTGCCTCCTCCTTTTGTGGGTAAAGATGCACTAGGCAGAGAGTGCTAGACTATGCATTTACCATTTGCAAGGCTCTGGGCTGTATACCTCATGTTCTGGGATGCAGACCCAAAATGAGAGAATAAAATGAGGGTGGTGAGCACGCCTGGAGTTGCATTCGGCATGCAGGAGAATTGCAGGGCCAGCCTGAGCAGAGAGTTCCCGTGCCAAGAGGAAGCCTGAGGAAGAGACAGCTGCGGAGTGACCCTTTACGCTGTTTCTCTTTTCCTAGGGCCTGAAGCCAGGAGTCTCAGGTTCGGTGACCCCTGTCCTCCTGTGCACACAGGTCGGAGCGGCCGCGGGGTTCCCCGGCAGGGGCGGGGCCGCACCTGGGAGGTGGGGGCGGAGTCCATGTAGAGCTGGCACTGCTCGCAGTGGTGGAAGGTGTTGTAGGCCGCGTACTGGGTCAGCATCATAGACACGGTTGCTCGTTTCCGGGGCTCCTCAGCTCTGTGCTCCTTCATTCCTTCTGCGGAGAAGGTGTGTCCACGGCATACACAAAGGTTAGAGAGGAATGCTCATTTCTCACAAGGGCTTCTCAAAGGTCTATCTAATTTGAACCCTGATAAGCAAGCTTAAAAATCAAGATGTGTGTGTGTGTGTGTGTGTCTTCATGTGTAAGAGTGAAAACAGAATTATTGTGCTCTTCTCAAAGGAGGGGACTGTCTTCTCCCATCCCCACCCCAAGCCCCGATTTAGACCCCTCCACTATCACAGAGCCAACCCTGGCTTTGCACGCTCTGACCTTGTTTGACCCCAGCCAGCTTCTCCGTGTAGAGCAGGCTCATCAGACTGTACTTGGGGTCGTGCACACTGACGTCGAAAGGTGTTTTGCTGAAGGTCTCAATGTCAGGCCAGGGCTCGCCCTCCGACTGGCTCACGTCACTGTTTTCATTGAGGTCTAGGGCAGGGCAGGGCACAGGACAGGCACCTCCTCTCTCATCACCACCATTCTGAAGAGGAATAGCCACCTCCTCCCCTCCTCACCATCCTCAACCAGCTTATTTAGCTCTTTCTTTTTTTTTTTTTAATTCTTTATTAATTACACTTTATTCACTTTGTATCCCCCCTGTGGTTCTCTTCCTCCTCCTGTCCCAATCCCTCCCTCTCTCCACCCTCTGCATGCATGCCCCTCCCCAAGTCCACTGATAGGGAAGGTCTTCTTTTCCTTCTGATCCTAGTCTATCAGGTCTCATCAAGAGTGGCTGCATTGTCTTCTGTGGGTTGGTAATGCTGCTCCCCCCTCAGGGGGAGGTAATTAAGGAGCAGGCCAATCAGTTCATGTCAGAGACAGTCCCTGTTCCCATTACTATGTAACCCACTTGGACACTGAACTGCCATGGGCTACATCTGTGCAGGGGTTCTAGGTTATCTCCATGCATGGTCCTTGGTTGGAGGATCAGTCTCAGGAAAGACCCCTGTGCTCATATTTTGTGGTTCTGTTGCTCTCCTTGTGGAGTTCCTGTCCTCTCCAGATCTTACTGTTTCCCACTTCTTTCCTAAGATTCCCTGCACTCTGCCCAAAGGTTGCCCATAAGTCTCAGCTTTAGCTCCTCTCTTGACCACCATTCTAAAACACAAAGCCCAGGGAAGTGTGATAGGCATTTCTGAGAACTAGGCTCTCTCATCCCACAGTAGAAGGAACCAGATTATTCCTTCAGGCTTTCACTGGGAAGAGGATTCCCTCAGTGGCTCGGAATTAGTTTGTACAGGTCCAGTTCACAAACTCCTATGCCATAACGTCCAGAGAATCCCAGTTCTCCTTAAACCGTACTCGTTTGGATGACCAAGCTTCTCAGCGTTAGCTGTGGGGTTTTAAGGTGTTGATGCCCTGGGAGATCCTGCTAATACTGTTGCTCAATGCTGGGGTTGAACTCCCAGCACCACACATTCCAGGCACGCACTCTTCCACTGAGCCACGGCCCCAGCACTTTCCATCAAAATCAGAGACGAGGATTTCGAATCTTGGTTGTCAGTTTGACTACATCTGAAATCAGCTGAAACCCATGCAGCTGGGTGCACCTGTGAAGGATTTTCTGGACTGGATCATCTGAGGTCAGAAGACCCACTTTAAATCTGGCCCACACCTTCTGGTGGCAGTGTACATCAAAGGGCGTGGAAGAAGGAATCTTCTCCTTTTTGCCTGCCTGCCTTCACTCTTGCTAGCAAGCTCATCTACCCTGATGCTCAGGCATTGCTTCCTACTTTTGGGGATTCTAATGCAGACCAAAGACCAGCTGAGACATCCAGCCTGATGGACTGAACAACTGGCAAATTCTTGGCTTTTCTGTTGGGAAACAGCCATTGTTGGACTGGTCAGACCACAGCCTATAAGCCACTTTAATAAATGCCCTTTCAATACATCTAGAGTTACTCTATCTGTTCTGTTCCTCTGGAGAACCCTGACTAACACAATCTCTCAGTAAGTTGACCAGGTTCAGCTTAGGTCTGTGCTGGAGCCCAGGCCATCCATGATGGCCTTCCTCCTCCTGCCTTACCTGTGGTTACAGCCTGATGACTGGGTCTGAAACTGCCAGAAACTTTAGGATGCAGTGTACAAAAGTCCCAGTGTGTGTTAGGACCATCTGAGTGCTCTCTACACACGCTCCCTCCCATCCCCCTCTAGAGCAGTGAAGTCAAACTCTGTTCCCAGGTGCAACCTTTGCACCTGTCCAGAGCTTGGATCCTTGCCCTGCCCTAAGGTACTTTACCGCTCTGGGCAACCTTCAGTCCTCAAAGCACTGGTTCTTGCAGGTCTTAGAGCCGTCAGGGATGGGACAGTTAAGGTGCTAAGGCAGGTGCAGGCGCACAGCATGTATATGCTAGGTGCTGCCCATTAGTAATAAGATGCGTAAGCTCAAGATGTAGCTGCAGGCTAGCTCAGTAGGCACGGGGGCTCTGCAGGCTTAGTGACCCGCGTAGAGGACCCACGTGGTAGAAAGAGAAAACTGACTCCCAAGAGCCTTCTGACCGCCGCACACCCTCCGTCCGGCACAAGCGCCCTCCCATGCACACATGCACACGGTAAAATGTAATCTTTTTTTTTTTTTTTTTTTTTTAAGTAGTATAACTACTTTGGGGGAAGGCCCAGGGTTAGAGTGTAACAATTATCTTTTTAATACGACATTTGATTTTTACCCTGAGTTATACCTCGAGTTACAGTCGGCATTTTCTTTGCAGTCCCAAGCATGCTCTGCCCAGGAAGGGGCCTTTATGCCTCCGGGTACGTCTTTAACCCAGCCCACACCAGAGCGAGGGTGAAGGAGAGAGCGAGGCTCTCCTGTTGGATGGGAAGTGACGGAGAACGCGGTAGGCAACCCGGGGACGGGGAGGGGGGGTCGCATGGTCTCTGTGGCCACATCTTGGGTGAAATCAAAGGCTGTGGTGCCAAGGGGCACAGTGCAGAGCTGGTAATGAACCTACCTACCAAAGCTGTACGGCGCACCTGTGCCCAGCAGCTTGCTGCGCTGCAGAGGGGCCCCAAAAGCCGAGAGCCACAGTTCACTGGGAAGTATTGGCCGGGCACCTTGTCTTCAGCTTCATGACAACCCTGCGCTTAGGTGCCCTGTACCCCAGACAGGGCGGAACGCTGGCCCCTGGGTCTCATGCCTTGGTCATAATTTCCAGCCTCACCTGCATTTATCTCCTCTTCATCATACACATCTACCTCCAAGAGCCGGATGAGCATTCGGAAGAGGATCCTGAGGAACTGCAAATAGGAGCCAGTCTTTCCCACCTGATGAGATGGTTTTAATGGAGGAAGGGGGGAGGAGGGGAGGAGAGAAAAAAGGAAAAAGAAGAGAGATTTCTTTCACACTCTGGCTTCTCAGCTGAGATCTCAGAGAGGTCTTCTGTCAACCCCACCGACCCCCCACCTGGGGGTGTCCCTGACGGTCAACCACACGGGGCCCACCCTGGTCCATCCCTACCTGGGGCGGGCCGGTAAGCAGCAGCCGCCTTGGGTGCAAGGTCCGGGTGCCTGAGGCGGGGTCTGGCTGGTTGCTGTAGTCAGCGTGGTGCTGCCGGGCCGAGGTCCACTGGCGGTAGTAGAGGGACTGCTCCTCGCTGCTCATGTCCTTGTGCAGGCCTGGCCGCAGGGAGCTCACCCAGGCCACGTCAGCGTGGGGCAGCAAGGACGAGGAGGGTGGCAGCCTGCCCCCCTTCTGGGATCCCAGCAGTCTGTAGGCGGCTTTGGATAGAATCACCACGGGGGGCAGGGCTGTGTGCGGGCCCTGGCAGCCTCTGTGGGGCTGCCCTGACCAGGCGAGGGCCTGGGCACTCCAGCATGACGATGAAGGCTTGGAGGTGGTGCTGCTGGCCATCGGAGGGCCCAGGGAGTCACACTCCTGCCGCAGGACCTCCCCAGCCGCCGCAGCGCGGGCAGACACCCCTTCATCCAGTCGCGCGCTGGTGCTGGGGCTCTGGAAGCCGGGGGTCGGAGGCTGCTGCTGGGGTTTGCCAGCCATGCTAGAGGAACTCACCCCGTTCTCCATGATGGAACCTGGAAGAGGACAGTGGAACACATCCTACTCCCGCCCCTCCCTGATGTCACGGTCAGGAGGTAAAGGTTACTGGAAAAACAAAAACAGAAAACCCAAACCAAAACCAACCACCCACCTACCCACCCACACACCACCCACAAACCCTCTTGGAACTGCAGACAGTGACGGAATTTTCTCTCTGCCCCAGCCACTTCCTCCGGCTTCCTTGCCCTAGGTTGTGAATGTGCCTGGCCAGTGGGAGACACCAGCTAGAAGTCAGTCTGTCCCCCTGGCTTTCTTCCCGTCCTGTCCCCCTGCATCAGTACCTTTCTCCGGGAACCCAGGCAGGGTTCAGCGGGTCACAGCACCCTAGAACTTTGTTGCCTGCTGTTGCTTTTCTAGAGCCTTCCCTCATTTTCCGAAGCAATCTCCCCCCCTTTTTTGTTTTCTGTTTTTATTTATTCATTACAATATATTCACTTTGTATCAGAGTTGTGGCCCCCTCCCTCTCCTCTCAGTCACGTCCACCCTCCCTCTTCTCCCCCTATGTCCCTTCGCTAGCTCACTAATAGGAGAGGTCCTCCTCCCCTTCTATCTGACCCTAGCCTATCAAGTCCCATCAGGGCTCACTACATCATCTTCCTCTGTGGGCTGGCAAGGCCCCACCAGGGGCAGGTGATCAAAGAGCCAGCCACTGAGTTCATGTAAGAGACAACCCATGACCCCCTTACTAGGGAACCCACTTAGAAACTGAGTAGGGGCTCTAGGTCCTAACCATGCATAGTCCTTGGTTGAGATATCAGTCTCTGCAGGACCCCCTGGGCCCACGTTTTTTGACTCTGTTGATCTCCTTGAGCAGTTCCTGTCCCCTCCAGGTCTTTCTATCTCCCTCTTCTTCCATAAGGTTTTCTTTTTTTTCCCCATTTTTATTTTAATTTTTATTAATTATACTTTATTCACTTTGTATCCCCCTGTGGCTCCCTCCCTCCTTCCCTCCCAACCCCACCCTCTCTCCCCCTTCACCCTCTGGAAGGCTCTACCCTGCAGAGTATCAAAGCAGATGCTGAGACTTATGGCCAACCTTTGGGCAGAGTGCAGGGAATCATATGAAAGAAGTGGGAAACAGTAAGACCTGGAGAGGACAGGAGCTCCACAAGGAGAGCAACAGAACCAAAAAATCTGGGCACAGGGGTCTTTTCTGAGACTGATACTCCAACCAAGGACCATTGATGGAGATAACCTAGAACTCCTACACAGATGTAGCCCATGGCAGTTTAGTGTCCAAGAGGGTTTCCTAGTAATGGGAACAGGGACTGTCTCTGACATGAACTGATTGGCCTGTTCTTTGATCACCTCCCCCGGGGAGAGAAGCAGCCTTACCAGGCCACAGAGGAAGACAATTCAGCCACTCCTGGTGAGACCTGCTAAGCTAGGGTCAGATGGAAGGGGAGAAGGACCTCCCTATCAGTGGACTTGGGGACAGGCATGTGTGGCAATCCCCTCTTTCAGATGCCAGTGGACTTCCAGTCCTGTTCAGTGGCGACTGCTGACTTGGTGGGCTGAGAGCCTGGCATCTCTAAGTGCCCTGGGCTGTGGCCATTTCCTAAACCAGGGTAGGACTGTGTCCACGGGAGGGAGACAGTAGAAAGTAGAGCTGCTCCAGGTAAGGAGGCGAGAGTCTCCAGTGTCTGCACGTTTGTCTGTTAATCTTTCCTCTAGCGGATCCCTCTCCTAATGCTCCCAGCTGAGGATGCCCTCTGGGCTCGAATGGATGCTGTCCAGCATGTAGCTCCAGTCCCAGCTGTGGGCCACCTGACAGGCTAGACAGTAACTGTCACTGTTAGAAGTAAGGCTCTCTCGGGCTGGCGGCTGGCTGGAGACAGGTAAGAGCATTTGGTGCTCTGGCAGAGACCCCAAGGTTAACTCCAGCACCCATGTCAGCTGGCTCACAAAGGCCTGCAACTCCAGGTCCAGGGAGCCAACGCCTTAGGCCGCTGTGGGCACTCATTTCCGTGCACAGCACTCACCCCGATGGACAGAGAGACGGACAGACACACACACACACACACACACACACACACACACACACACACACACGCTTAGAAATAATAAAAATGCCTTTCTGAAAAAGCAGGCCTCTGCTGCTCCATGACTGGGGTTCCGGCTGCTAAGCCCAGGCCGCCCTACTCCTGGGATTAAAGGTGTGTGCCGCCACGTCCTGGCTCATCCGGTTTGTTTTTAATGCAGCCTTTGTCGCTTCTGAACCCCCTTTACGCTGTTTCCATTCTGACCCGTTTATATACATCTGTGCATACATCCAGACGTACATACATACATCTACTGTGTGCTATGAGAGTCAATATCAGGAATTAAGACTGGAATAAAGAACCTGTATTGACCTCAGCCAAGCTACCAAGGAAGGCAGAGTAGATGATAAATCGCAGCCACTGAACCTTGGGAGTCTGTTACCGAGAAATCGTGGCATTGTGGAAAGACACAGATGTGCTGTGCCCCTTCTGTGTTTCTGGCAGAGTGCACTCACGATGCTGGGCTCTCAGCAGGGCCTGCCTCCCGTTTCCGGCCTTGACAGCCTTGAGGGAGCCCAGGAGCTGAGGTCTGGGTGTTCCGTACTGAGCGGGGCTTGGTCGTTGAGACTTTGGTGGGCTTCTCAGAGCAACCTGAGCAGGATATCATTGGTGAGAGCAGGGCAGGCAGTGGAGGAGGGGCATGACTACAGAGCCACTGGTGGGGTAGCCTGAGCAACATATCAGCTGCTAAGAGCACTTGCTGTTCTTGCAGAAGACTGGGTTTCAGTTCCCAGCACCCACATGGTGTTAGTAACCCCAGTTCCAGGGGGCCTGATGCCCTCTTCTGACCTCCCTGGGCACCAGGCACTCATGTGCTACATACGGCAGGCAAAGATACTCACACACCTAAGATAAGTTTTTAAATCTCTTTTTAAAAGGAACCACTAGGAAGGAACAGTCTTTCCGTCACATTCCTTCCTGACCTCATATCCCAAGATCCTAGATAGGATGTTTCCCTCTCGTTCTGTTACCTTATACGGTTCTCTCTCTGTCTCTATCTTTCTCTCTATCTCTGTCTCTGTCTCTCTGTCTTTATGTCTCTCTGTCTCTCTGTCTTTATGTTTCTCTGTCTCTCTGTCTTTCTCTGCCTGTGTCTCTCTGTCGCTGTCTGTCTCTCCATCTCTCTGTCTCTCTGTCTCCCTCAGTCTCCCTGTCTCTCTCTCCTGAGCTGGTTTTAGGAACACTGAGGATCCTCCAGTGGTAAGGCTGAGGGAGGAGGAGGGCTTAACCAGCTGTCCCCTGCTGAGAGGGATCACTTGGGCGTAGCCTAGAGAAGGGTGGGTCTCCTGTCCCCCAGGCCCTGGGTCACTAGAGACAGGACACCCTTGGGCATGGAGTCCTCCAACAGCTGCTGACTGCTGCTGCTCTGGGCATGTGTGCATGCTTGCAGGTCTGGGCAATGAGCTGCTCTCCACGCTAACTCAGAAAGCGGGTGGGACCATGGCTGCCTTCGCTGTGGGCACATCACTTCCTTGCACTCTGATACATCTGCAGACTTTTCTGCATTTATTTTTGTAATCAAAAAATGTAGGAATAGGGCTGCATTTGCTGTATTACAATTTACTAAAAGAAAATTTATACCAGGCCGTGCAGTCAGCTAGTAGCCCCTGAAAAGCCTGCAGTGTCCAGTGTACAAACACTTGACAGCAAGAATCTAAAGTAACCAGCCATCCAGACATTTATCTATTTATCCATCCTTCAGCCATTCCTTTATCTTCCCATCCATGCAGCCACCGTCCATCCATCCACCATCCATCCATCCACCCACCCACCCATCCACCCATCCATCCACCATCCATCCATCCATCCACCCATCCATCCATCATCCATCCATCCACTCATCCACCATCCATCCACCCACCCATCCATCCACCATCCATCCATTCATCCATCCACCATCCACCCACCATCCATCCATCCACACACCCATCTATCCATCCATCCATCCACCATCCACCATCCATCCATCCATCCATCCACCATCCATCCACCCATCCACCCATCCATCATCCATCCATCCACCATCTATCCATCCACCCACCATCCATCCATCCATCCACCATCCATCCATCCATCCATCCAAACATTTGTGCCAGGCACTAAGCCACCTAATACGAACGTAACAGCTTCTGTCTGTAGACTGAAAACAGGGCATGTATGCAAATGTTAGCTCTGGGGTAACTGGGGGTGGATGGGAAGCATCAGGGAGCATGGTGCAGGCTGTGAGGCAAACTGTGGTTTTTTGTCTGTCACTGAGCGCATGGTTAAACCCAGAGGGAGCTACAGCCACTCAGTCTTCCTGTGCTGCATACACCCTTCCCGCCACTGAGGTCTGGAGAGGAGCTCCCCACCGCTCCTGGAGACCCTGGGGGTCAGTAACCGACTGTACCTTTTGAAGGAGAGTTCTGGCCTGAGGTTCCTGTGACAGCGCTGCTGTTGCTCTGCGGCCGCTCCAAGTCGATGAGCAGCTCATCAGCATCGTTCTCACTGGTGGGCGCCCTCTCGGCCTCCTTCCCGCTGAGGTCCAGGGCAGCCGCAGGCCCCCGGACAACCTCTTTTGAGACATAGCAGCATGCCAGGCCCACCTCCTGCTCCAAGGCCGTTCGGGTTAAATAGCTTGAGTCAATCAGTCGAAGGTCACAGTACTTTAAGGACCTGGACAGAAGGAACCACATTGGCGGCACAGCCCTCTAACACACAGTGCTGAGGCCTGCCTGAAGGTCCTGGGCTCCGAGCTCAGCGAGGACACAGGCTTCAGTCCTGGCCCAGTGTGTCACCTCCCAGCCAGCCATCCTCCTCTGCTTCCCCTGCATCCCCAGAGTATAAAACAGAGAGGACGAGGCTTGAGGTGGAGTTGAGTAGCAGAAAACTTGCGTGGCGTGTGTGAGGGCCTAGGCTTCAGCTCTAGTGTCACTAAAAAGCAAGTGCCAAAGCTAGGAAGAGAAGGCTGGCTTAGAAGGCTGATGCAAGGAAAGAGGCGAAACACACAGGAGGCATTTAGGGTGTGGCGGACAAGCACACAGTAAACGTTCAGTTGATGCCTTTATTGCTATTGCCTAGATCCTGGAAGGAGTGTGGAACAGCAGACTAACAAAGACAAAGTGCTTTATTTAAACTCTATATCATCTATCTATCTGTCTGTCTGTCCACCTGCCTATCTATCATTCATCCATCTACCATCTACACATGATATATGTGTATCATATATATTTGAATACCTTTCTACTGCCTGTCCATCTGTCCGTCTGTCTGTCTGTCTCCTGTCTTTCCTCTCAGCCTCCCTGGCTACCTTGCTTTGGGGTACACCTGCTTTCCAGCTGTGGCTTGGTTCCATTCCAGACCTGGTGGTTCTGGAAATCTGAAGGAGAGAATTAATAGGGCTCTATGTCTTTTGACCCTGCATGAAACAATTACCACCAGACAACTGAAATTGGTCCATCAACCATGCAACAGGTCAGCCGGGAAACTGGAGCTGCAGAACTGTCACTCACATCTTACCTGGGGAAAGTTTCTCCAAGAGGGTCCTTGCCAGTTAATATCACTATGCAGGGCAGACCTTCTAAGTCTTGGTATGTCCGAGGGACCCACTCTTCCTGCTCATTTCCTCTCCAGGTCTGTAGAGGAGATACAGAAGAAATCATTAAAACTCCTTATTCAAATTTATATATATTTTAAAGGTTTTGGGATCTAGGCTTCAGACACACCAAGCTTCCTGTGGTCTCCAGGAAGTGTGTAGCATTATAAAAACAAGCATTCCATGCATACTGGAATGCTTGTTTTTGATTTTTGTGACAGGATTTTGATCTTTGAGATGGGGTTTTATGTAGCCCAGGCTAGCCTCAAATCCCCTATGAGGATGACTTTGAACCCCTTGTCTTGCTGTCTTCACCTAAGTGCCGGGATCACAGGTCTGTGCACTATTCACCTCTCCATTTGCTGCCCTCAAAGCACAAAGCAGGGCAAAGCTCCTGCACCAGCTTCAAAGGCCAGAGAAGCACACTGGAGCACCCTACCTGTGATGTAAACGCACAGGCCATGGCTACAGTTGCTGGCTCTGTCACTGAACTATAGTTTTTCATAGAGTGGACAAATTCTTGGGATTCAGTGATGAGAAAGGACAGTTCCAGTTGTCAGGGAGTTGAGACAGACTCTCAAAATTCATCCAAAAATTTTAATCAAGCAAATAATAAAGTTAGCCCAATTCTGGTTTGGCTCAGAGGTTAAGAGCACTGGCTGCTCTTCCAAAGGTCCTGAGTTCAATTCCCAGCACCCACATGGTAGCTCACAACCATCCATAGTAGGATCTGGTGCCCTCTTCTGGCCTGCAGGTGTACAAGCAGACAGGACAGTGTATAAATAATAAATAAATAAATCTTAAAAAAAAAATAAAGCCAGGCACAATGGCACATGCCTGTAATCCCAGCACTCAGGGAGACAGAGGCAGGCAGATCGCTGTGAGTTTGAGACCAGCCTGGTCTATAAATCAAGTCCAGGACAGCCAAGGCTTCATAGAGAAACCATGTCTCAAAAACAAACAAACAAACAAAATAACTGTAATCCCAGCTACTACAGAGGCTGAGGAAGAAGCTCCCAAATTCAAGGCTACCCTTGGGCAATTCAGTGAGACATGTATGAAATAAAAGGTAAAAGGGGGCCAGGGAATAGAACTAGGTGGGAGAGCCGGCCCAGGCACAGTGCTGCAGACTCAGCTCCCCACCAAACCTGATAAGTAATGATGGCATGAGGCCTCCAAAGTCTCGAAAGACTGACCAGACTGGATCAAACGGAAAAGCAACTGCCCTTACCTGAAGAGTTCTCAGTGTGCTCTTAATTTCACAAAGTATCCACAAAGCACCAATTTCTCATATATTACCACAACACATATCCATGCAGGACCTTTACTAATAAAGGGCTCCATAATGGTTTACTCTGTTTGTGTCTGAGACAGGGTCTTGCCTGTCCCGGGCTAGCCTTAAACCTGATGTGTAGCTCAGGACCTCTGATTCTCCTGCCTCGGCCTCCCAAGAGCGGAGATTCCAATTTTGAGTCACCATGCCTGCTTTCCCGTAGTGCTGGGGAATCAAAGGGACAGGTGTGCCAGGCGAGCATGCCAACCGACAAGGTACACCTTCAGCACCCAGATTTTCTGGTTTAGAATGAAAGAAAATGGTCCAACTTAAGTAAAAAGATTGTAAAGATTATGATTTTTTGCCTGTCCAGCATGTAAATAGGCTTTATGTCAGCGTTCCCGTGGGGCTTACCCGGCCCTTCTGATAATGCTTTAGCAAACAAGGACTAAGAAATGAGATGTTGTTTAGGGTACTTTAATCCCAGTACTCAAGAGGCAGAGACAGGTGGATCTCTGAGCTCAAGGCCAGTCAGGGCTACATTGTGAGAACACATCTCAAAAATTAATAAATATTTTAATTACGTAATTATGTAAGTTATTGTAAAAATATTAATTATACTTAATTTAAAATTTATTGTTAATTATATTTATTATAAAAATACTTATTTATGAATATTAACAATTTTTTAAAGTATTTTCTTTGCTAAGCGCAAAATGCATTGAAATCTACTAGGCAAGAGATAACGTAATAGTTCAGTTACTGTTTTATTGGTATTTAGAAAATAGCTAATGAGGGCTGGCACTGTAGCACACACCTGTTGTAGCTGGTCTTGGCTACTTTGTGGTTCTTCTTTTTCCCACCCTTTATTCCCCATGACTTCACCCCCTAACAGTAGATAGGAGAGAAACGAGGACAGAGGGGAGAGAATTAGGAAAATCCCTGAATCTAATTTCTTTCCTTTTGTTTTTTTCTTTGACTATGGCTACTAGCTGGATCATGCTCTTTCTTACATCTGAATGTTAGCTTGTAAGATTTTAATAGGTGTGCTACAACAACCGCAGAGGTTAGGTACCACATAAGAGACCAGAGGAGCCAGAGGAGTCCCAAAGAAGGGGGAAAGGGGAAGTAGAAGAGGATTAAGGAGGGAGTGGTTCGGGAGAGAAGGGTACATGCCTGTAATCCCAGCACTCAGGGAGGCAGAGGCAGAGGCAGAGGCAGAGGCAGGCAGATCTCTGTGAGTTCAAGGCCAGCATAAGGTCAGGGTAAAGAGGCCGGGCTGACCACAGGAGAACAGATAACGTGTCTCAGCACTGGGGGAGGCCTCCCCAAGAGCGCTAAACACTCTCACCTTTACTCTTGACCAGTAACAACGGAGCACTGCGCCATGCGTTCCCAGCAAACTCTGCTTGTGAAGAATGACAGTGACTCCTTCCAAGGAGCTCCCGTGGCCTCGGAAGGCTTTCTTCCTGGAGGCACTTAAGCCAACACAAGGACTGAGCAAGAACTTGGGCTCAGTACTGGGCTCATGACCAGAGCAACTGCAAAGGTCCGGTGCTTGATGAGCAAAGTGACTGATTTATTTAAGGTTAAAATTTTAATGTTTGTCATCTGTTGCCAATTAGCCATATGTGTAACAGGATAAAGAGGGCTAACCGTAAAAATGGGCTCATATAATGGGAGCAGTGTTGGGTTTTACCCCAGACTGAAGATAGAAGGTACTCCCACGCCTGCTGAGAATGGTAAAGGAGGCTAAAATAGATACGCTAGGCAGGGTCCCCTGTGAGAGGCGGACTGGCCCAGGTGTGAGCACTCCAGTGGGAGTTCATAATTTCACCCTCACGCAGAGAGTACATGAGGAGAAACTGATGGACGCAGAGGTTTGAGAATCTAGGTCTCTCTTATGAGGCTGGGTGTCCAGCAGCTACTCACTAAAGGAAGGAGGCTCCCCCTGCCTGGGGAAGTAAGCTCTGGCAGCCCTTCACACAGGGCACACTCGGCGGTCTTCACCAGGGCCCCGCCCCTAAGCACTTCGATGATAGTCAGGGTGCGTGGTGAACAGCTTCACTGTGCTTTCAAACAGTGGCCCAGAGGGCAGGTCTTTATAACCCACTGATATATCCTGACCTCTCTCTCCCTCCCTCTCCCTCCACCTTCACCATGGGGAGGGCTGGGGCTTTGTTATTCACCATAGGTATTTTCTATAAGGTGCCCTTTGACCATAATTTTATGTTTCTCCATGACTACAATCGTAACAACCGACATCTGCTTACAAGAAAGTCCAGGAAGAAAGACTGCTCCTGCCTACTCCCCACAGCCTTCCGACAACCGACGATGCCTCAGAGCCGGTGAAAACCCACTGTCTGCATTTCTCCACCGGCTCCAGCAGAAAGAACACCACACAGGCTGTGCTCTCCCCCCCGCCCCGACCCTCCCCAAGCGAGAAAGGATGATCACCAATGGCTGACCAAGAGCCAGCCTCATGCTGGGCAAACACTTCAGTTCCTCCTCCGCACATCTGAAGAAACCCTTCTGCAGAAAGCTGCAGGTCTGACCCCGGACAGCCAGTCTTTGCCCTTAAGCTGTCAGCATATATCTATAGCTGACCCAGAAATGTTATGCTACTGAGTATGAGTTTCTGTTTGAGTATGATTTTATTCTACCTGCTTATCAAGCATTATGGGTTATTCAGTTTAGGCAACAGTCAAGCTAACCTTTGTAAAGTTCTTTATGAATAGTAAAGAAAAATCTCCAAGTTACAGCTTGAGGAGATCACCCGGCTCATGTCTTGCAGAGAGGAAACTGCAGCGGGGTGGAAATCAACCCCCTCGAGACCACGTGCTCTCATTTCAGCCAGTGTGGACAGCATGTGTACTCAGGCATACAGTAGCCAGCTCAGCCCCACATCCATAAGAATGTGGGCATTTCATGAAATGTTTCCTAGTGGCTAGGACAAGGAAGACTGTTAAAGTCCTCCGGGAAAGCCTGGGCCAGGTATCAGGCAAGGACTTAGGAGAGCTGCCTGACAGGAGGTGAAAGGGACAGACAGTCCCGGGCTACAAAGAGGGAGCAGCAAGGGGCTGGATCATGCATGGAGCCCCTCAGTAGGACGCCACAGCCAGCCCTGCCAAAGCCGGAGAGGCTGCGTCAAACTGGACACGAGCAGCGAGCTGGGAATCCACAGGCCAGGCAGCTGGACGAGGCTGCTCCAGAGTGCTAAGAGGAAAGGAATAGCTTCCGGAGCAGCCTCCAGCCGACATCCAGGCTAGAGGGCAGGAGAGAATCGGAGAGGTTGAGAGCGGCTTACCTCCCCCCCCACCCCCAGAAAACAGGTTGCAGTGGGCTAGAGGGCAAGGTGGAGAAGCGCAGGGCACAGTAGGTCACCTCCGTTTTTGTACCTGTGCTTGGAGAGCATGGCGCCCGACTGCAGGACCATAGGAAAAGGAGTCCTATGGGATCTATAGGAACTGGTTTCAATCAAGAAAAGCCAGGGCCTCCTTCAGCTTGGCGTTAGCCTGCCCATGGAGGTCAAACTCGCACACGTGCAAAACGTGGGTGGGTGCCATCTCTCCGAACACCCTGGGAAACAGAAACAGACGGCGCCTGCCCCTCGCTAACCTTCAGCCGTGTCACAAAGTGAGCCGCGACACTGAGCTCCGAGGCCGGGTTCCCCAGGACGATCTCAAAGCGGTACTGCAGCCCCAGCTTGTCTCGCACTTCCTGCAGCCGCTCCTTGGCCAGCATGGCCAGCTGCACCGAGGGCACCCTGATGATGAGCATGTGCCCCCTGCCACTTCTGTTCTTCCCTGGCGAGCTGATAAGGTCATCCATTATGCTGAGCGTTTCTGGAGTGCTGTGGTCCCGGAGCGACGCCACGGTGGTGAGAGCCATCAGAGCCTCTGAGTACTGCTGGATGAGAAGATAGCAGCGCACGACCGTGCTGTGCAGCCGGGGGTACCTAGGGCGGAGCACAGAGAGCGAGGCTAGCGCCAGGCACAGGGCCGGCGGGAGCGGCAAGGCACGCCCAGTAAAACGCAGATCACGGCAGGGGGAGGCTGCTGAGGCAACCTCGGATCCAACCTTAGAGAAGCAGCAGACTTACAGAGCAAGCCCGGAGCTGAACAGCCCCTCTCCCCGCACTGGCAATTCAGATGCTCATTAAATGCTGAGCCACACCCGTCGTGCAGGTTAACTGTGACCTGGGTCACAGACCCTGGGTCGGCGCTGCCAGCTCAGCTCTCAGGTGTCTGGCTGCAGTAAAGGATATAACCACACGGCTGTCATTATTCTTGGCGTATCGGACGCTAAAAACCGCTAACTGTGGCTGGCGTGCTTAGAGCATGCCTGCAACCCAACACGTGTGAGCCAGAGGCAGGAGGAGAGAAGAATTCAAGCCCAGTCTCGGCTACCTAATGTGCAAATGCCAACCTGAGCTACAAAATGGGATGCTGTTTCAAAAATAAAAAAAAAGCAGCAAAAATACACCAACACATAAATTGCAGAAATATATCTTCCCATAAAAAAATATGAATTGGTGGGGCTGGAGGGATGGCTCAGCCGTTAAGAGCACTAACTGTTTTTTCAGGGGACCTGGGTTCAATTCCAAGCACCCATGCAGCTCCCAACTGCCTATAACTCTCAGTATCCAGCACCCTCACAGAGACATACTTGCAGGCAAAAAACATCAGTGCACACAAAATAAAAATAAGTACTAATAAAAAGTGTGACTTGCTGAGCCAGGTAGCAGGGGCTCATGCCTTTAATCAGGAGGCAGAGGCAGATCAGGGCGGATCTGAGTTGGAGGTCAGCCTGGTCTACAGTGTGAGTTCCAGGTCAGCCCGGGCTACACAGAGAAACCCCTTCTTGAAAAAAAAAAACAAAACAAAACAAAAAAGTAAGCTGGGGCAGGAGAAAGTTGGAGCTAGGAAAAGTGGAGAAAGAGCGCCCCCTAGTGGTGAGCCTTTTATCGCCAGAGACTGTTGAGGGAGCCTAGGAAACCTGGCCGGAGGTCAGCCGTGGCCTTCCACACACAGCCCCTCTGCAGTGGAGCGGCCCAGGAGACAGTGTGGAGCGTGAAAATGATACTGGGTCCTGCTGTGGGACACTTTGCATTAACTCTCCTTGGATGGGCATACGAAACCCATAGGAGTAGAAGGGCATCTTGACAGAGCCGTTTTTATTTGGCCTTTCCGTGTCGTTAGCACCGTCAAAGTCACTGTGACAGGGCCGACAGGCGGCTGACTGTTTTTGACATACGGCTAAAGCAAAGGGCAGCGCCCTTCCTTACCTCTCCAGGAGCGTGCCCACCATCTTCTCAAAGGTTTCATCGTACCTCAGGAGGGGGCTGGCGACCCCCCACTGCAGGGACTTGCTGTACTCGTTCAAGCCGAAGTACAGCTTCTCGGAGCCCACGTCCTCCTGAGTGAAAACAGAGCAGACCCCGGTGAGGACGGCGTGAGTGCTCGTGCCTGTGTGCATTCACGCTCGAGCGTGTGTGTGAGAAGAGATGTTGGTGGGAGGTGAAAGAAAATCGGCTGTGGAACTCGACACCTCCGTGGCGCTTCCACGGAACATAGTGAACGATGAGAGGCATGTGGACATGTAGTCCCACGGAAACCACGCCTTGGTTGTTCTCTTTATGCTTCTGTTCAGATACACAGGTACACAGGCCAGATTTTTTTTTTCCTGGCTAGAAACAGCTCTGTCTTCTGACAGAGCTTGGGAGGACACTAAGCAGGCTCCTGCACACACTCGAGTGTTTTGGTGCTTTCTAATTACGGTAACTCCTTTCACAAATAAATGTTAGTTTGAAATGGAGGATGAGAATACAATGCACTATGAACAACACTCCACCTCCTTCCACAGGACACAAAGCACCATCCCTTCCCTCGCTCTCTGACTCACCGTCACTATGCAAATGAGTACCTCTTTCGGGATGCGACACAAGGGCGCCCTCAGAGAATCCTGGTACGTGCGTGAGACATGACGCTGTCTTTCAACTAAGAAGGCCCAGAGTAGTAAGAAAGTTTTGTGACTTCACAGACTTTGTTTTTTTAAGACAAAGTTTCTCTGTGTGGCTATGGCTGTCTCTGAAACGCACCCTGTAGACCAGGCTGGCCTCGAACTCTGCCACCCGGTGAGCTTTCAGTAGAACACAGTCACCCACTGTTAGTGTTATAATAACTAGCACATGAAGGCACAGTGCCACAGTCCCAGCACTCAGAAGAGCGGCCGGGGTATGAGGGCCAGACGGGGAGAAAAAGCAAGATCCCATTTCAAAACCACTGTGGTCCTATGAAAAACGGAGCCGTGTGTTAATTAGCGGTCTTGGCACATTTGCGCTGACTTTACCAAGCCACGGCAATGTTGCCCCAGGCTCTGTGTCCTGGGGAACTGCCAGCGGCTGGGCAGGAAGACTCACCAGCTCATCCAGTTGTATCCAGTGGACCTCATTGCTGGGGCTCACCCGAGACTGCTGTGTCTGCAGCGTGTATGGGGAGGAGCTCACCTGGAGCACCAGGAGGTTGAACGCTTCTAGGACCTCTCTGCAATTAATGACTCGGTCAGCCAGCCCGTGGGTGGGCTCGCCGTGTGACAGAGAGCCCGAAATCACACTGTGGGAACAGCAAACGTCAGGTTAGCGCTTCCACAGCCCGCTGACTGGCGGAGGTGGCCCCTGCTAGTGTCTTTGAGAGGAGCAGATACCCTGAGAATGTGAGCCTCGCGAGAGCTGGGTGTGATGGTACACACCTGAAATCAGGAAGCACATGAGGAGCCGAGGCAGGCAAGAGTTCAAGGCCACCTGGGACTATATAACGAGATCTTGTCTCACAAAACAAATATGATGTGACAAAGATTTATCGTCTTCCTTACCCCTTCCAGATAGATTTGGGGACTCGTTGCTTCCTGGCTTTCCAGTTGTTCCTAAGCTATTCTGAGTGTCCTCAGGCATGTAGCCATAGCAGCTCATCTGTGCTGAGTTTTACTGTGAAAGCTTCTAGCTCTTCTAGCTTGGGAGGAGGGCCGGGAGATGGGCTGGGAGGAGAGCTGGGAGGAGGGTTGGGAGGAGGGTTGGGAGGAGGACTGGGAGGAGGGCTGGGAGGCCTCTCCACCCTCACAACCCAGAGAGTCTCACTGCTCAAGTTTTCTCAGTTTAGTTAGTTGGTATGCCAGATTATCGTGTAAACTCAAAAACACATATTTTATCCTATCTTTCTTTTCATTTTCGTGTGTAACTGTGCATGCGTGTATGTGTGTGTGTGTGTGTGTGTGTGTGTGTGTGTGTGTGTGTGTGTGT